ACCTGCCCTCCGCTGGAGGTGATGCAGAAGAGAGAAATAGTAGAACTGTGATGGGGAGCACTCCCTGCCTGCAGGCAAAGCCGGTGTCCTCCGGGTTTAGAGAGATGATCGCTGAGGTCCAGAATGGTGGAGGGACAGCCCGTGGTCGCCTGCCAAGTTAGTGTCAGGTCCTCAGATGGCTCCTGGGGCAGAGCGATTGTGCTAGGGACCTGAGGGAGGGAAGAAAGGAGAAAGGAAAGGGACCTGGGAGAGAGGGGTCAGTGAGAGAGAGCACTTGTCAGACACCCCAGCACCGATGTTCTGCGTTTGGTGGGGAAAAGGAGAGGCCGGACCTCTGCGCCCACCCATGTGTCCTTTGGTCGGTCAACACGTACCATCAGTTTGTGAATAAAAAGTTGAAACTGTCGCCCATAACCACCTGAGCCACACCGGCCAGGCCTGTATTATATTTTTTTTTTAGAATTATTTGTGTTGGTGATGGTGACTGTTTTCGTCCCTGTGGAGTTCCATTTTCCTTAAAGATTAGAGGATCTTATCACAATAAAAAAAGAGTTTTATGAAAAAAGATTATAGATCATTCAAGCTTACTATTTACTCTAGTCAGTTTTGATCATTTTACTTTCTAGGAATTTATTTTATTTACCTTTTCAAACTTATTGACACCGACTTCATAATGTTTGCTGTAATCTCTATTACATCAGTACTTGTGTAGTGTGTGTGTGTGTGTGTGTGTGTGTGTGTGTAAATTCTAAGAGAATTGTTTGTGCCTATTCCCTTTTTGTCTTGACCAGTCATGTTGGGGGTTTGCTTTAGCACCTCCAGAGAACCACCTTTTGGTGATCCTCTCTATTGTACATTGGGCTGCTTTTCCGTTAATTCTGCTCTTATTTTCTATGTGTCTCACTTCTCAATTTCTTTATTTGCCCCTTTCTTGCCTTTTTAATTATCAAGTTATTTTCCCTAAACCAGTGGTCGGCAAACTGCAGCTCACGAGCCACATGCGGCTCTTTGGCCCCTTGAGTTTTTAGCGAAGGCTAGCTTAGGAGTACCCTAATTAAATTAATAACAATGCACCTACCTATATAGTTTAAGTTTAAAAAATGTGGCTCTCAAAAGAAATTTCAGTCGTTGTACTGTTGCTATTTGGCTCTGGTGACTAATGAGTTTGCCGACCACTGCCCTAAACACAAACATTCCCTTCTTTTGTTTTTTTTTGTCCTACAAATTGGGAAGTTCCGTGTGTGTCTCTTTTTTAGTGGACAGGTTGAGACTACAAGGATAAAGAAAGATGAGGAATAAGGTAGAGCCTGCTCTTTGCCTTAGAATACCTGTTGCATTTTTTGTTCCAGCCCACTGTCTGCCCTGGGTCCTATTCTCACTGATGGAATAGATGCCTCCTATGTGGCCTGTAATTTCTCCTCCCCTCCACCCCCCCACTCTCTCTCTCACATGGTCTCCAGTTATCTTTCCCAAAGCTCAGATATAATCAGGTTGCTCCCTGCACACCTACCTTTGGTGGCTTTCCAGCGTTGGTCAGATAAAGTCCAGGTTCCTTGGCATGGCATTTAAGTCCCTGACATACTCTTCTTGCTTTCTCCAGTTCCCCAACCCTCCTCTATAATATCCTTCATATTAGCATGCTTGAAGTTTCCAGAACGAGTCCTGTACTTTTCCATTATATTTATTTAATCATAATACTCCCTCCTCCCCCAATCACCTATCAAGTCCCTTCCCCAGTCTCTGTTCAAATCCTACAGATCCTTTAAAGGCCAGATTAAGTCACCTGTTTCGCTGCTTTCCTGATTCCCCAAATGGAATAAATATCTGCTTCTCCTCTTTCCTTACTGGTGCAGTTCTGGCACTTTCAAATGGCACCGCCTGTTGTGATAGGTTGAGCAGCTGCTTCCATTGCTAACACATCTTTTTCTCCCATTAGATTTATGCCCTTAACAGAGTCATGACCGAACTGGAGCAGCAGCAGTTTGATGAGTTCTGTAAACAGATGCAGCCTCCTGGAGAGTGAGCCACCTGTGTTCAAACGAGATGGGACCCTGAGGCTTTGTTTGTGAGCTCGGTACCAGTTTTAAGCTGAGATGGCCCATGTGGAACCTGACAGAACTAGACAAGATGGCATCTGTGCTGTTCCTAAAACTGGATAAAACCTGAACTTCCTATGTATAACTTCTGCTTCACTGGTTCCTCCAATTTGAATTGGCCCAATGTTTGCTGAAGAGACTTGTTTTATTCTCCTAAGATAATACTCTTTATTTTTTAAACCTTTTTCTATTGTTTGAGAAAAATAATCAGTGTTTCTTGTGAAACTGTAAATCTCCAAAAATACAAATAAAATACTAATACAATGTGCATTTGCTCATACTTTAGTTGGGGATGCCCAGCCGTAAGAAATGGATCGATGTTATAGGAGAGGAAAAGTGAGGTGAGCAGAGGGAACCCTTGCTCCTTCAGGAGGGGAGTGGAAGAGAAAGGGAGAAAGAATGTGGCTGCTTCCAGTTCTCGTTCTTCCTGGGGCTGAAACTCTGCAGCCCCCTGATCCTCCATTTGTAGCCACAGAGTGTAAATCTGTGCCCTTGACTCCCGATGAGCTGCTACTCAGGGTCAGAGCTGTAAGCCAGGGTCCTCTCACCTTGCGAATGTGGGCAGCTAGCAGCAGGCCTGCACCAGCAGGAGGAGAGGGCAGGCATTGCTTTTTCATTGACTTTACCAGGCCTAGAAACGGATTTATGATGAGGATCTTCAGGCTGGAATGTCTGAGCTCATGGATGTTTGTAAGATTGGTACTACATTATACTAATGTTGCATAAAGCTCTCTGGAATGCTCAACTAAATCAATTCATCTCCAAAGTAAACTGTTTTAATGCCAGGTATTGGCAGACAGCAGAAATCCAAAAGCATGTTTATGAAGGAAGTTACAATATAGTGAGACACAAAGTCACCTAATTCTAAAAAAACATGTGATAGAAATATGATTAGAGAGCAGTGGGGAGGGAGAGGAACTGTGTTTCTGTAGCCAAATCAGAACAATGTGGACTTCTCTGGATTTTTATTTTTAAATCCTAAATTCAGATTGAATGTATATTTGCCATATACATTGTTCTGCAAACTTCAAGAAGTTAGTCCTGAGGCAAAAAGTGCTCTGGTGTCCAGCTGAGAAAAAAGTGGACAGCCAACAATCCTTTGTATACCACCTGGAGGTAAAAGTCAAGAGAGTGCTGGGGTTTGCTGCTTTCAGTGGACCTATGTTCTTTTTTGAGGTGTAACTTTAGGGTTCCATGTTGTTTATTTCTATTCACTTTGGATTTTAGGATATGAAGAAGCATTTTGAGTATCTATAGTTAACATTTTAGATCTTAGGAAAAAATCATATAATGAGGGTCTAGAATCCAGATGATCCTTCAAGCTTCCAATATGACTAATCTCTACGTGTAGCAAAAGGCAGAAGCTTTGATGGTTGAAGTAATTACAGAATTTCAAGTTGGGCAGCCTGATTATCCTATAGCTAGCTCTGGTTTATGGAGCCAGAGTATGTACATTTATTGTAGCATTATTTACAATAGCCAAGATATGGAAGCAACCTAAGTGTCCATTGACAGATGATTGGATAAAGAAGAGGTGGTACATTTATGCAATGGAATATTACTCAGTTATCAACAATGAAATCTTACCATTTTTGACAGCATGGATAGACCTAATTGGTATGTTTAGAATAAGTCAGACATAGAAAGACAAATACCATATGGAATCTAAAGAACAAACAAAACATAAACAAACTCATAGATATAGAGATGGTTGCCAGATGGCAGGGAGGTGTGGGCTGAGTAAAAAAAAATAAATAAAGATGAAGGGATTAAGATGTGAAAATTGGTAGTTACAAAATAGTCATGGGATATAAAATAGAGCATAGGGAATATAGTCAATAATGTAACAACTATGTATGCTGCCGGGTGGGTAGTAGACTAGACTTATCTAGTAGACTAGACTTTGTAAGCTATATAAATGTCTAATCACTGGGTTGTACACCTAAAATTAATGTTATATTTAATATCAACTGTAAGTGAAAAAAAAATTTTTTAAAGAATGCTGTATGCCTGGTTGAGCATTGTCCCATGAACTAGGAGGTCACAGTTCGATTCCCAGTCAGGGCACATGCCCAGATTGTAGACTTGATCCTTAGTAGGGGACGTCAAGAGGCAGCCAATCAATGTATCTCTCATTGATGTTTCTTTCTCTCTCTCTCTCCCTCTCCCTTCCACTCTCTGAAATCAATAAAAAGATTTTTTTTTTTTAAATGAAACACAGAGCCCTAGCCAGTTTGACTCAGTGGATAGAGTGTTGGCCTACAAACTGAAGAGTCCTGGATTCAATTCTGGTCAAAGGCTTGTACTTTAGTTGCAAGCTCAATCCCAGGACCTGGTCAGGGCGCATGCAGGAGGAATATATGTGTCTCTCTTACATAGAGGTTTTTCTGTCTCTCTGCCTTTCCCCATTCCTTCCATTCTCTAAAAATTGATGGAAAAATATCCTCAGGTGAGGATTAACAAAACAAGAGAGAGATGAGAGAGAGAGAGAGAGAGAGAGAGAGAGAGAGAGAGAGAGAGAGAGAGAGAGAGAGGAAGGAAATGCCTTAGTGAACTGAGTGCTACCCCATTACTGGAGCTATACCAATTCTGATGGGTTTCCTTTCCAAGGGATTAACCTTCGTGGTAATAGAGCTGGAATGCAAACCTGGCCCAAAGTGAGCTTGGAAAAAATTCTGTTCCATCTGACATGAACAACTATTGTCCTGAAGGGATTCAGATCCCTGAATAAAGGGGAAGAAGGGAAGGCTGCTGGCCCTGCTGTGGGTTGTTCTGGTTTGAGACACCATGTATCTACCACAAGCACAACACAGGAACAAGGGGAGATTTAGGGAGGATAAGGCAAGTTTGGCACAACAGGCTGGCACAAACCACACAGAAGCCAGAAGGAGTGGGAAGAGCTGTTTAGTTTCTTAGCCGCTCTTGCCTAAGACACACTGCCTTGCCCCACAGAACACCTGGAAAGAAGATGTAGGAGAGCGACCACGTGAGGCAGTAAAAAGCAATTAGTGAGAACGGAGAAAAAAGCAGCATGGTGACACCTGGAAGGAGAAAGAAACACAACACTCAGTTTTCATGAAGCTTTCCTACCCTCTCCTCCCTCATCTTCACTCACCTCCAAGATAAACGACTTTTTTCCAATTCTCAGATTCCAGGATTTCATCGTGTGGGTAGTAGCTCTGGTCCATCATGAATAGAATCATAAGCGAGGCCATGCAGGAGAGAATGAGCGTGTTGCCTTTGGTCAGAATGGAGGTGGAGGCCAGAACACAGGAAGCATAGGAGCAGGGTAGACCCTTGTATGTGAAGGGAAAGTCTCCTGGGGAAGAAAACATGAGGATTAGCGCCTCCTGCTGATCTCAAGGTATCTGCACAAAGCAAGCCCCTGTCCCTTTGGGTTTTCCCTTACCCCTCTCCCCAAACCCCCCTAATCTCAGGACAGTAGCAGGCTGTAAAGCATTTTGCTATTCATGGATATGGTGCATGGGCTTTGCATTGGACTCCCCAAGGTAAAGCAGGAGGCTAGGACTGGGGGTATGTCTTGGCCCTAGGAGGCCTCTGTAAGAAGGGCCCTAAATCTAGGCTGCATCTGCACGCCCTTGCACTGGAATCATAGGCAATTGCCCTGCAAAGGTCACCTAGTGAGAAAAAGGCATAGCTGGCCCAAGAACTGAGGGCCTTAACCTCACTCCTCTACTTCCCATTCCCCCACTCCCCCACCCCCAGATCAGGGCTCCAGCCTCCAATGGGTATGGGACACAGCAGAAGGAAGGAAGAGGGACTTCATAAAAGGAAGGAGAGGAGTCGGTTACTGCACTCAACAGCTCCTCCCCCTCCACGGTTCCCTAGCTCAGCCATAAGGCTGGGTTTCACTCACCAGTTGAATTAAAACACAGGCGGAAAGAAGCAGCTAACACATAGATGATGGCCAGGAACCCATTCAGAGGCCCATCCACGCCTAGGAGCAAGGCTGAGGCCAGGCCAAAGGTGGTGAAGACAGCAAAGTCATTCAGCTCAGCTCCTGCTCCAGCACGCCAAGGTTAGAATTTTACACTTACACACCGTGTGCATTAGTCCCCTCCGGTGGGGGTGCTGAGATGGTGACAGGCAGGGTCTGAGGTCTATTCCCCTGGGAATCTATAGATCAAAGAATGGTCTTCTGGCTCCACCTTAGGATGACCCTATGGCCTTAAGGCATGTCTTTCCTGGCCCAGATCTTAGTTCCACCCTTTAACATGCAAGGATTGAACTACAATTGGATACAAATTAAGAAACTATGGAACCAATTTTTTCAAGCAAAATATGACACAAATATATTTTATTGTATTTTTTATCAGATTCTCTGCTTGGAGTTATTTTTCATTTCCCCTCTCTTCCATCGTCACAACCACCATTCCCACTCCCAGTCCTTGGATTGGTTCTGAACAGGAACTCAGGGCAAACAAGGAAACTGAAAGCCAGGCTAAGGATAACCAGAGATCAGTAAGTGAGCCAGCACAGGAGCTACCGTGTTTCCCCGAAAATAAGACATCCCCTGAAAATAAGACCTAGCGCAACTTTGGGAGAAAAAAATTAATATAAGACACTGTCTTATTTTCAGGGAAACAGGGTAGATCCAGGCTGAGGGGCTCCAGCTCCAACTCTAGGGTTGCTTCTGCTTACTTAAGGGAGGTGAATAGGACTAGTGACTGATAAGGGCCAGTCAGTGTTATACGATGAAGGAGCTGACCTGATGTGGGAGCTCCTGGGGTCAGGGTTTAAGCATCTGAGGCCTGGACTCACCTGATTTGGAGCAGACATTGAGATGTCTGGTGATTGTCCTGACTGCCATGTCCGTTAGGAAGCTGATCAGAACCATCCAGGAAGCACAGGTGGATTTCCTAAAGTGTGGGCCAGCAGGCCCAAACAGGACAGCTCTCATAGTCTCCTGGACAACCACTTCACACACCTCCAATGCACTATACACTCCCTACCTTTGCACACATACACACCCCTGCAAGTTCCCCACATTCATATCCTTTCTGATATACACATCTTTATATACCATGCACATGTGCACACACGCACGCACGCACACACACGCGCGCACACACACACACACGTGCATACACACACACACACACACACACACACACACACACACGCTTACATTCCTTCTATACTCTCAACCCACCTTCTTGAAGTGGTGCCCAAACTTCCTAGCTAATCACTAAGGTCCCTTCCAACTTTAAGTTTCAGGTATATTCAATGGCCCAAGGGCCTTAGGTTCTAGCCCAGCCTCTGCAACTGTATTACAGTGAATTCTCAGATAAATCACTCCCCTCTTTCTCTAGGCCTTTTTGTTCCTCCATCTGTAAAATGAGGGATTTGTGCCAAACAATATATTTAACACATATAGGCCTATTCCTATTACCTAGTATTTTTCCTACTGTGAGTTTTGATAGCTTGGATCTTTTAAGGAATTGGTCCATTTCATCTAGGCCAGTGGTTGGCAAACTCATTAGTCAACAGAGCCAAATAGCAACAGTACAAAGATTGAAATTTCTTTTGAGAGCCAAATTTTTTAAACATAAACTTCTTCTAACGCCACTTCTTCAAAATATTATAGACTCGCCCAGACCGTGGTATTTTGTGGAAGAGCCACACTCAAGGGGCCAAAGAGCCGCATGTGGCTCGTGAGCCACAGTTTTCGGACCACAGATCTAGGCTATCAAATTTGTGGGTATAGAGTTCATGACATTCTTTTATTATGCTTTTAATGTTCATGAGATCAGTAGCGATGGCTCCTCTTTCATTTCTGAAATTGGTAATATGTGCCTTCTTTTTTTTTCTTGGTTAGCCTAGCTAGAGGCTTATCAATTTTATTGATCTTTTTAAAGAACTAGTTTTTTGTTTCATTGATTTTCCCTATTAATTTCTTGTTTTCAATTCATTGAGTTTTGCTCTAATTTTTATTATTTACTTCCTTCTCTTACTTTAGATTTAATTTGCTCATCTTTTTCTAGTTTCCTACAGTGAAAGCTCAGGTTATTGATTTTAGATCTTCTTTTCAATTTTTGTAAGACTGATTTTAGAGATTTTATGTTTATAACAAAATACAAAGGAAAGTGCAGAGTTTTCCCATATTCTCCCACCTCTCACATATGCATAGCCTCCCCATTATCATCATCACTCACCAGAATGGTATATTCTGGTTCTTGGTACATAAAGGATGAACCTCCTATGCCCCAAAGGGGATTGAACCCACAATAAGAACTCATGATCTGGTGGAATTTTAAATATTCCACCAGATCATGAGTTCTTATTTAAGAATTTAAAATTTTGAATGGTAGTCTACCTACTCAATAATTGTGTAGCAAGCATGTCAAACTCTCGACCAGAGGCCGGCCAGATCATGTGACCTGCCTGCCATGAGTTTGACATGCCTGGGAAAAGCTGCCAAAGCAGAATCTCCTGATTTAAAAAAAAACAAAAAACAAAACAAAAAACAAAAAACACACACAACATTCTAGACTGCCATATTTGGACGGAACTATAGAGATCATTGTGCAAGCTCCTTGTTTTAAAGATGGAGAAACTGAGGCTCAGGGGTGTGACCTAGCCAAGGTCACATACTTGGTTGATGATAGAACTGAAGCTAGCCTCTTGGCCCCTTGACTCCCAACCTGCACACTTTCTTCTGCCCCCATTTGAGCTCCATGCCTCAGTGCCTGGCTCTCTAGATGCCCCACTTCTCTCTTCACGCCCATGGCTGAGACTTTGCCGGGCCCCGGACCTACTTGCTGAGGCTGCAGAAGATGGAGAAGAGCCCCATGACCATGTTGGCCAATGACAAGACATTGGCAACATCTTTCCAGGAAATTTCATTCATCTGGAGGTGACTCTGGTCTTTGGTCAGGAAGAAACCGTTGCACTAACCTGTGGCCAGAGAAGAGGGGCAACAGATTCCCAAGGTCAGAGTCCCAAAAGGGGCTCCTAAGAACCAGGTAGCTCCTGTTCCCCTAGATTTTCTCCCAGAACGTCACCCTCCACACACGGTTCCAATGGCTGGAATGAGGCAGACAGTAAGTAGATGGAGGAGACACAGGAGGTAAAGACAAAGGACTGAAATGAGGGTCTTGGGAAAGCCCAAGAGCGAAACAAGTGAACCAGCTCAACCATAGTTTCCAGGCCTCTCTAACTACATCCTTTGCCCCATAGTACAAACCTCCCTCTAGCCATAGGTTGGTCCTCATGGCACCCCATTTCCCTGGGTACCAAATTATGGGCCCTTCCCCGCTTCTGAGGGATGAGCATTTTGTCACTGAGCTCTTTGTCATAGATGAGATTTTTTTTTTAATTACAAAGCTATTTTCAATACTTTGATGAGCCCCATAGGAATAAAAAGCACTGGAAAGGGGTAACGCACACACCCCAGGAATGGCCCAGGGGAGAGAGGCTACCTGAGGGGAAGGAAGCACAACAGGGACCCACTGCAAAGTCAGCCTCCTCTGTCCTGCAGGCCACGCTCACGCCCTCAGGAGGACAGGACTGCAACTGAGGTGTCTCAAAGTTCTGGTTCTGACAGGCCCCAACCAGAGCAGCAGGCCCAGCTCCAACAGGGGAAGAAAGAGTGAGAAACAGACAAAATAAATGTGTGTAGCATAGACTATTTCACAAGGCGCTTTTCCCTGTGTGCTCTCTTCTGATCCTGACGACTTCAGGGGACAGTGCTATCATTCTCCCTTAAAAATCCTCACTAATTTTTTCAATATATTTTTATTGACTTCAGAGAGGAAGGGAGAGGGAAAGAGAGATAGAAAAATCAATGATGAGAGAGAATCATTGATCAACTGCCTCCTGCATCCCCACTCCCACCCCACCCCACACTTGGGATCAAACCTGCAACCTGGGCATATACTCTGACTGGGAATTGAACTGTGATCTCTGATTCTTGGGTTGAGGCTCATCACTGAGCCACATTGGCCAGGCAAATCCTTACTCATTCTAGAGGTGAGGAAGCTGAGACTCTGCCTCCACTCAGCATACCTATATAGTCCCAGCCCCTTCTGGTCTGGACAAGAGCTGAGAAACCAGGGTCCTTTCACATAAACCCTGCCACCAAGATGTCAGCGGCTGGGAAGGGCTGGACTTGCAGTTTGGGACTGGGAGTTTATCAAGGCAGTGCTGTGGGTTCACTGCTCCCACCGGCCACCCTTTCACCAAGGGGGTCAGTGACCACATCACCAAAGCCACTGGGACTCCTCAGACTTCTCATCCAGGGCCACTCAAAACCTAAGACTGGAAAGTATGTGAGCCAAAATTATGGGAGAGGGGAGGGGGCAAAAAATTGGCTGCACCCTCCCTCCCCATGAACCCCTCCATCCTGGTCTCTCCTGGGCCTCACGGCTGACCCCCGCAAACCCAAACACCTCTCCCCCAGCCTCACCCGCTGCTGCCTGGAAGAGCAGCATCCCGGCATCTCCACCTCTCACGGGCAGTCAGCAGGTGCCAATTATTAGACACACCTCATCTCTACTAGTTCACTGTTTTTTTTAAAAATTAATGCTCAGCTATCTACTATGTTATTTCATTCACTCACAAAACACTTTCACCTCTGTGGTTTCCATTGGCCCCATGAGGTCTACAAGATAAGGATCACTGTCCCTACTTGCCAGGTAAGGCAAAGAAGACACAGAGAGAAGAAGAACTTTGCTCAAGGTCACTGACACCCTTTGGAAGTGTCTGGCTAAGACTTAAGACTTCTGTAAGGTTCCTCTGTATTCTGCCTGTCTACCAACCTCAGGATCAAGCGTATTCACTGTAAACTCAGACTGAGCTAGGTGCTGACAAAAACCCTTGGTCCTTGTCTCCATGGAACTTCTAGGCTATCCAGGAAAATAACTCATGCATGCATGTGGAGACTTACTCTGTTCCTGGTGGTACCCCATTGAACAGATGGGGAAATGGAAGTTTCAGGATAGTTAAGCAGCTTATCCCACTAAATGGTGGAACCAGGATTGCATCAGGTCTCCTCTTTCCCAATTCAATGCTATTTTTATCACAATGAACATGTCCCAGGTTAAAAGAATGTGGACCTGAGAGTAAGGGTTGGAGAAATCCAGAGGAAAAAAAAGAAACAATCTATTCACTCAGCAAACATTTAATCATGAGCAAGATTTGGTGCCTGGTGCTTGGGACACAGAGTCTAAGACCTAGTCTCATTTCTCAAGGAACTCAGTCTAGCAGAAGATTCAACCCTGCACTGACGTGACCAGGATGCTGAGGCAGCATGGAAGAGGGGAGCAGCATGTCAAGGGGCTTAGAGAAGGTTCCTCAGAGGAGGGGGTCATAAACGAGGCATTGCTCCCTAGCTTCAATGCCCTCAGAATGGCATAGTACTCCAACTCCTTCATTTGGTATACAAGACTTTCATAATCAAGCCATGCTCAACTCTTAGCCTCTAATCCCTCCCTATTGCCTGTTAATCCTTTCTCTGGCCCTTCCTCTAGTCTTGGTTTGGGTGGTGGTCCTCTTTAGGAAGCCGGACACCTCATACCGCCCCAAACCTATTAGGTGCCTCTCCTCTGTACTGCCACATGTCTTTGAGCACACCATATTACTCTTGGCACTCTGTGTTGGCATTGCCTATCTTGTCTTCCTCCTCTACTACAGGAGAAGCAATGTGAGTGCAGACCAAGGTTCCCTGTGCCTGCACCGAGGCCTAGCACTAGAAGCTGTTCAATGACTGACAAATTAACAGAGTACGTCATCCTGGTGCTTCCCTGAGATCCTCTCCCTGCACCAAATTACATCTCTCCCTGCACCAAAGCCTGGTCAGTGTCCTCCGAGAAGCCTTCTCAAATGAACTCTCAACAATCCAGCTGCTTCACCACACGTGACATCTACCCAACGCTGATGATCTTCCATTTACTCATTTTAAAAATATATATTTGCTGGTGCACATGACACGGGCTGCACCCTCAGGGAGCTCCGAGTCTGGTAGGGGAGGGCAGACATGTGTAGGGACAATGAAGGCAGCATGGCAAGTGTCCGGTGGGACAAGGGGATATCCAGTTGCTGCAGGTGCAAAGGGAGAGAGACTAAGTCTGGGGGAAGGTTTCACTTGACTGGAGGCAAGTCAGCAGGGATACCCAGCTGTGACCTTGACTTGCAGCCTGTGGATAGGCAATGGTGTTTAGTAAGGAGGGGTTTTGGTCAGATAGGGGTTGGAAATGGAGGGTGGTCTGAAGAAAACGAGCCATGAGACTGGTGAACAAACAAATGCCTGAGGTTTTCCAGGGAAAGGAAGGAATGGCCAAGCCGGTTCCTTCCCCGCCAGGAAACCCTAGGAGCAGCACTGAAGTGAGCAGGTCTAAGTGGAGGGTCCAGCAGGTGTGGGCACAGGACACAGGGCATCGTCACTCTACTTAGGAACACCCTCCCTCCTCCTCCAGGCTCCTACCCCACCCCACCCCTTGGGGCCAACATCCCTCAACAACAGAAAGCCGGCCTCTCTTGAGCTGGTCCCTCCGAACTGGAGAACTGGAGCTCCCCTCCCCGCTGTTCGGACTCCAGTCCAGGCGTCACTAGCCACACATGGGAAAAGGCGCTAGAGATGGCGCTGGGGCTGGGCGCCCTTCGGAACAACTTCCCCAGGGACGCTCACAGCACTCGAGGGATACGCGCTGCTGCTTCCACTCACCTGCGAACTGGACATTCCTAATCGGGGTGGGGGCCCACTCCTTTCCTGCTTTCTGTGCAGCGGAGGGGGACCAGCCATTCAAGGGCAGCGCCGCTGGCCCCCAGGCTCAGCCCTGGCTCTTAGCTCACAATCCCTGAGAGATGGGGGAGGGGCGGCCGGGCTTTCGCTGGCGAAAGAGGGGCCTCAGTTTGCTGGGGAGCCCTAGGTCTTGTAGTGAGTGTGGTACGGTTGGAGGGATCTGGAGAGGGGACTACTTTCGGTCATGGCGAGTGTGGTGCGGCCTGGCAGATGAAGAGAACAGAACGCATGGCGAATGGGAAGTGGACTGGGAGGGAGTTGGGAGGTAAGCTTGTAAAGGGATAGATGCTGGGGTCCAGACTTAGGTCCCTAGGATGTAAGGTCCGTGTGGGCAAGGCTTGCCTGTGCGGTGCACTGGTGTATCTTGGTCATGGTAAGAACGTTTAGGCATATATAGCAAGTCTCCTCCACCATCCCACCCCCATATTTGTTGGATAGACAAGCTGAGTAATTTACACCCAGGCCTGAAAATAGTAAAAAAAAAAAAAAAATATATATATATATATATATATATATATATATATATATATATATATTGTCTTTATTGATTCCAGAGAGGAAGGGAAATGGAGAGATAGAAATATCAATGATGAGAATCATTGATTGGCTGCCTCCTGCAAGCCCCCTACTGGGGATGGAGCCCAAGGGTCCACAGGCCCAAACCAGCTAGGGCAATTACTTTTTTTGTATTGTTTGTTTGTTTGTTTTGATATATTTTATTGATTTTTTACAGAGAGGAAGGGAGAAACATTGATGAGAAAGATCGATCAGCTGCCTCCTGCACACCCTCCACTGAGGATGTGCCCGCAACCAAGGTACATGCCCCTGACCGGAATTGAACCTGGGACTCTTCGGTTGGCAGGCCGGCACTCTATCCACTGAGCCAAACTGGCTAGGGCTAGGAAAGTTTCATTTTAAATAGGAAAGTGACATAGGCAGTTTGGGTTAGAAAGATTATTCTGGCAGCCAGTGTGGAGGAAGGCTGTGTAATACTGCATGAGAGATGAGCTGCAGGCAGGAGCAATGCTGCATTGTTGGTCAGCAACTGAAGGGAATGGGAAGTAGCCAGACTAGGAGCCAAGGTGAGATGGAATCCCGAGTGGGAGAGG